TAGTAAAAAATTCAACAATATCTTCACGTAAATTGAGAGTTATTTAAAATATTTACTGTTACGTCGTATAAAATTTTCAATAATTATGGACATTTACAGGTGCTCACACATTTGGACGGGCGAGATGTGTGACATTTCAAAATCGGCTCTTTATTTTCAGTGGTTCGGGAAGTCCCGACTCGTCAATAGACCCGACATTCTAACTTCCTTACAGCAAGCATGCCCTCAGGATGGAAGCAATCGCCAATCACTCAACAATCTCGACGTGACAACTCCGAACAATTTCGATAACAACTACTTCGTCAACCTTCAGAACAATCGAGGACTTCTCCAAACCGATCAAGAGCTGTTTTCGACGAATGGGGCGCCTACGATCCCGATTGTCAACCGGTTTGCCGGCCGCCAGAGTGATTTTTTTGATAGCTTTACTAAGTCTATGATCAAGATGGGTAATATTAGTCCTTTGACAGGAAACAGTGGGGAGATTAGGGCTGATTGCAAGAGGATTAATTGATCATAAATTTTACTCTATGGTTAAACTTCATATGCAAACACATACACACACATACATATACATATATGAATATAAACGTATATGTATATATGATCAATTGGGCGAGTTTGCAAGTTGGGAAGTCTGGTATAATTAAAGGGTGGTCTTAGAATTTCCTTTGTTACCAAATGTAATAAGGGCAATAATCCAATGTCATGCCATGTCCTTTTCTTTAGAGTGAGTGTTTTGTGTTGGTTTTTATTATCTCTCTCTCTCTCTCTCTCTCTCTCTCTATATATATATATATATATATATATTATCAAACACATACAAAAAAGAATACCAAAAAATGACACATGGTATATTAATCTGGTATATATATATATATACCCCCATATACACACACACTCACATGCATATTAGTTCTAACTCACACACTCACATGCATACTAGTTCTAACTCAAGACTGCATCACACACACACATATAATATTATAATATATATATATATATATGGCGTTAAATACAAAACCTCTGGACTAATAGAATGGTCTTGGAACAGTAATTTGTATTTGTCCGCTCGGTTTACAAGACTTTTCGGCAGTCATCTTTCTGGCCTTTTCAAGCATATGAAAATGAGAGATTCCACCAACCCAATAATTTTTAACTGTCTTATTCCGTCAACTTTTGATTCACTATGACCAATAATTGAATACCATCGTAAAAAACTTTCTTACCCAAAAATTTTAACCTAATATCAAATTATAGTAATTAATTATTATTAAATTCATAATTTAATATAACCAATAAATTTTTAATTAAATAATTAATACGTCATTTTTTTATATAAAAAATAATAAATTCCTATAAAATTTTGTATTTATATATGTTTTTGCTATAAAAAAAAATGGTATTACAATAAGTTTATATATATTAATATACACACGACCAATCATTAACCATATTAGCATGAAAGTTAGTTCATACTTACCCTTGAATTACAATCAATTTACTAACTTTTGTATCACTCAAAAACTTTCACATATATATATATATATGTATATGACTTAATAGAAATATCACCACATTAAATTATATTATCAAGAAATATATACTAATTATTTAAAATTTTAATTTAATGTAAAATTACTTATTTTTATTCATGTATTTAATTAAAATGATTCACTAAATATAAATATATTCATGACATATAATTAAGTTAAGTATCACATCACAATTATTAGAAAATAATTATTTTTATTGATAATATTTTAATTAATTTATATAATATTTTTATTTATTTTCTAAAATAAATGTTTATCCTTTTCTAAAAGATAAAAATTTATTATTATTATTATTGGATTTCACTCATCGTCCTGAATTTAAAAATTTTAGTTGATGCAAAAAATATATTAAAAATATATAATAAAAATAATAAATTTAATTATTTTTAATTTATCTTTTTCTATGATTGATCACCATCAATTATTTTATAATTATAAATAATTATGTTAATTTTTAAAGTGGGTTAAACAATTTATTTTTCTCTTTGAATATTGTAACACCCAACATTTATTTTATTTTTTATTTTATTTTTTTATAAATATAATTATTTATTTATTGAATTTAATTTAATTTAATTTATTTTAATTTGATTTAATGAAAATAATAATAATAATAATAATAATAATAGTAAA